TCCGAAAGCTCATGTCGGGGAGGCGGCAGTGAGTCCGAGCCAGGGAAGAGCGGAGGCTAGAGGGTTTTCTGATTTTTTATAGCAGCCATCAAGGATAAACAAAACAAACAATACATACTTAATCTCAACTTTGTGATTTTGAAATTTTTAGTTCATAATTAGCATTACATTTTTAACCAGAGAAAAGTGTTTCTATCTCTTACACAGATTCCAATTTTCCAAAAGAAGTTACATTAAAATGCTAATCTCTGATGGCTTGGTTTTATTTCTTTGAAAGCATCATTCTTGTTCAAGGCCCTGAATTCAAACCCTCATATTGATAAAAACAAAACCAAATGATTCTTAGGGGTAGGGCTGTAGCTCAGCATGTCTCCAGCATACATGTGCATGTACATGCATATATACTCTCTCTAACCCTCTCTCTCTACCCCCTTCTCACACACACACACACACACACACACACACACACACACACACACACACACACAAGTTCCATCCTGTTAATCTCCTATATTTTAAATTACAGTTGCAAGATAATATTTCTTGCTCACTAAAATAAGTTATTTAAAAAATCTTAGGGTTCGGCTGGGAAGGTGGCTGCCGTCCTGTGACATCAGAAATGCCAGGATAGAGGAAGACTTCAGTTCTGATACTGGATATAGCCATGCCACGTCTTTGCCTCCGTTTAACCAAGTTCTTCTTGTGAAACCCCGAAGGGAAAGATTTACTGACTGGTAGAGTCACTCAAGTGATAGCACATCTACCCAGCCAGCACCAGGCCCCACAAGTTCAAACCCAGTACCATCAAGAAGAAAAACTTCCAAAAACTAAATACCTTCTGACTATATACACATCATATTTTAAGTATCCACTGATGGGTGGATAGACAATAAAGCCTCTATTTCCCGACCATTGTGAACAAACAAGGAAGTGCAGATAGCTCTCCAACATACTGGCTCCATTTCTTTTGGTTATGTATTTCTTAGAGTTCTATTTTAAGAAATCTCTGTAATCTTTTCTGCATTGGCTGTACTCATTCCATTCCCACCTCCTGAGTAGCTAGGACTGTAGGCACAAGCCACTGCTGCCCAGATCTCGTTGCTTAGACACAGCTCCTTCAGCTGGATTTGCTGTCTGGCTAGCAGGACATCTGTAGTGAAGTAGCCCTGGTGCAGAATCAAAACATGATGTTTTTCAAAATTTACTATTAATTTCAAGACAGTGACAGTAGACTGTTAAACGAAACATAGGGATCTAAGCGTGTGACAGCAAAAACATCACAGTAGGCATATAAAGCCATCTCCCTGAGCTGCAAGTTGGTCCTTTCTTAGAAATACAGGTATTCAAGGTTCAGTATCATATTATTGAAAAACTAATAAAATTGGACCACAGTCAAGTTCGGATTCGATTTGCATCTGGAAATCCACTGTATTTAATAGCACAAGTACACATATTCCATTCTGTTGCTGAAACTCCATTAACAATGAGTAAATTCTCTAAATGAGCAAGTGTCAGCCACTTGGAAGCTCATTAGGAACCCCTCCCCCACCCCAGCCCTAAATTTTAGAACCCTGGAACTTATCCAGAGGATTGGGTCCTATAGACCATTCCTCCAGAACCTTCCATATTCCTATTAGCTATTTTAGTAATTGAATTTCTGTAAAAGTCATGAACACTAAAGGCCATGTGTACAATTAATGAGATGTTTCACCCCCATAAATGAAGTATTTGATCCTTTTAAGCACTTAAGCCAAGAAACAGGCCTCATAGTGATTTTATCCAGCACTGTGGCTGGCTTTCTCATCACCCCATGTCGCCACCTACCTGGTCTATGGAGAGCCAACACCTAGTGTTTCATGCCAGGTGGTGGGGCTCATGCCTATAATACTAGTTAGTTACTCAGGAGGCTGAGATCTGAGTATCATAGTTCAAAGCCAGCCTGGGCAGAAAAATCTCTGAGAGACTCTTTATCTCCAATTAACCACTCAAAGTAGTCAAGCACTAAACTTGAGCACAAAAGCTCAGGGTAGCACTCAGGCCCTGAGTTCAAGCCGCACCTGCGTGCGCGCACACACACGTTTCTTTCACTAGCCTTGTACAGGTTACCTGTAAGATTCCGGCTTTTGTTTATAAAAAGCTTTGTGGTATGGTATGCTGGAGATAGTTTTTATGGTTTTGTTAGAATGTGGGCCTTTTAGAGTATAGGTTTCAATGGTGATTTTTTTTTTTTTTTTTTTTTGGGGTCCGGTCGTGGGGCCTGAAATCTGGGCCTGGGTGCTGTCCCTCAGCTCTTCAGTTCAAGGCTAGCGCTCTACCACTTGACCCACAGCGCCACTTCCAGCTTTTTTCTTTTTTCTTATGTGGTGCTGAGGAATCGAACCCAGGGCCTCATGCATGCAAGGCAAGCGCTCTACCACTGAGCCACCTTCCCAGCCCCCAATGGTGATTTTTTTTAAGGCTAGATTCTAGTTAATTGATCAGTACCTTAAAATATTTAATCTTTCAGAAGGAAAAGGTGCTTGAAATATGTTGGAGAAAAACACAGAATAAAATCATGAACTGTGACACAATCCTGTTTTTTTCACTGGCTAGGATATAATACCAATTAGGACCATAAATTTGAAGAATGGTAACAGGGTTGTTTGGGTGGTGATCTTTCCCTGTGTACAGCCCAGGGGACTACAGGTAAAAGTGGTGTTCTCTTAAAAAGGAAAGGAAGTCAAAGAACTAGAAAACAAAATCTCGACTCAACTAACTTGTTGAAATGCTCTGGGAAGTTTCAAGGTGACTTCACGTGGTTCTCCACCACAGGCCAACTATATAGTTATAGAAGTGTTACTAATCCTTTCACAATCCAGGAGTCTCGGTTATGGTTGAGCTTTTGAAAGATACAGGTAACTGGGCTGTGTCTCTGATCAGATAATGTTGGCAGTGTGGAGCTGGAACAGTTCCCTCTGGTGCCCAGTGGGGCCTGCCCAGACAGGGAGGTTGCTTTTCTAGAGCAGATAAGGTTTAAAGTTTGCCCCAACAGGCCTCCGTTGGTGTTACACTTTTAAGCAGAGTCCTCAGGTTTAGTTGGGTATCTCTCCCTTTCCTGTTTATCATATTTAAGTAGCACCTGATACTTTGTTTTCACTGTTTTTCTTTAAATCCACCCACTGCTCTCCATGAAGGCGTTTATTTCCCTCCCAGAAATCATAATGCAGTAGTGGGTAGGGACGGGAGGGAAAAACTGGGAGAGCAAGGGAAGGGGTGACGTTGTCCAAAAAGAAATGTACTCATTACCTGACTTACGTAACTGTAAGCATTCTGTACACTACCTTTACAATAACGGTTAAGTAAAAGAAAAAACACCTGTGGTGAGGTAGGGTGCGTTTCCCATGTACCTAAAGAACGTGCCAATTAACAAATGTTGCAATAAATGGATATGAAAAATGAAATAAGTGTATAAAAGCAAGGATGCCTGAACTATGCACGCATTTACCATTAGAGTGTTAGCTGCTTCACTTTGTACACTAGATCTCGTGCTAGTGGCAGGAAGTGAAGCTGGCAGTGCAGGCACATAGTGCAAGAAGAAATGCAAACTATATTCCCGAGATGCCCACACCTGACACAGTCCCAAGGGTCCTGAATGGGAAGTGGGTTAGCAGAGTGTGTAGAGGTTGTGGAAGCAAGGTTTGGAGAGGAGTTTGGAGGTAACAGGCAAAGAACCCGTGTGTGCGCACATGCACGTAGACACAAGGTTTCTTATTGTAAGAGTGACACCTTCTAGTTCCATAAAATAGAAATGTACCTTTTGAGAAACCCAGTTTCAGGTAAGGGTATTTTTGCCATTTCCCCGTTGAGGAGAAATGCCTACGTACAAGTGAGGCAGATCTGCCATTTTCTACGGTTGCCTTTTGTTACTTTCTGTTAAATAGTGTCACTAGACCTCTGCTATTAATTTATCCTCACACAATTTGCTGCTGTGGAGCAAAGTTTCTAGAGGCTTTTTTTTTTCTTTCTTTTTTATAAAAAGATCTTGTTTTGTAGCCGAAGTTGGTCTCGAATTCAAGCTTCCCAAGTGGTGGGATTACAGCTATCACACTTGGCCTGGGAAATATTTGAGGAGTGGGAAACTGTCTATAAGCACAGAGATTGTAAGTGGGAAATAAAACAACAAGATTTCAGAGTGAGCTCTGCTGTCAGAGCCACTTCACACAGAAGTGCCTTCTCACGACTGACCCGAAATCAGACCCATTTACTCGAACTGTGACTGCAGAGGCCTGGTGAAGGTTTTCCATTTTATGCGCACTAATTTAAATGTGGGCATTTCCCATGTTGGCTGACAGAAGTTAAATACTGAGTTTCAATTATACTTGGAAATGTCTTTTACAAGGCTAACTTCTTATTAATACTATTAAATAAGGACTTAGACACAACACTGAACAAAAGCCAGACATGAACCTTTTTAAGTTTACTGGACCTTGAACCTAACCATGTTTTTCAGGTTTTTTTAATCTATTGAAAAGGTGATACACAGAGGGATTACGATATGATACGATACGATACAAGTCGGGTGCTGAGTGCATTTGCTCTGCTCCAGTGTCTTCTGCTCCCTCACGCTCTCCCGGTCCCTCCCTCCCGTCTCCACCTGGCGTTGTGTAGCTCCCGGTCGCCAGTGCCAGCGCGTGCGCGCCACGCTGCACTCTTCCCTCGAGCTCCGCACCCTGACCAGGGTTTTAAGCGTACTGCTAACAGCTCTGCTCTATGTTTCTTTCTCTTTTAGATACAGCTCATGAGACACCCACAAAGCAAAGCGTCACACTGCAAAATATTTCTAAAACGGAACTTCCAAGTAGAAGTGTAGTGAGTCTATGTGTTATCTCCTTGGGAGAGGAGGGGGAGCTTTGATTCTTATTCCAGCAGCCAGATTCCTTACCAGCCTCTTGCCCTGTGACAAGTGGACTCGCAGCCACAGCTGTTTGTGAGCCAATTAAGATCGTGTGCTTATCTTTCAGGTTCAATATTTCTTCAAGATCTTGGATAATTAGCGGCGCAAAAAGCAAAGAAGTCACAGACCGGAGCACGTAGACAACAGCGGATCACGCGCGTGAGGAGTGTGTTCATTCTTTTATTGTCCATTGTTTCAACCTGACTGATACAAGATCAACAAGAGCACTGTACTCCTGGCAATTATTACATATGTTAGAACATGGATTTGCACTGTAGACAACATTTAACACCAGTCTATGGGGTACTGCATTGCTTTTTATAAAGTTCAAAATAAAGATTTATTTTCAAACAAGTGACTTTGGTTTATTTCATACATTACACTTTTTCTTGCAGAAAAAAATAAAATTGTACAACTGCATAAATATAAAATTCTTCCACCATGAAAATGGTTAAAACATTCATAAAGACACAGCACCAGCATGTGATGCCTCAGAGAAAGGAAGAAAGGAAAAGAAAATGTACAAAGCAAATTAATTATCCCGCCACTAGCCAAAGTGATGGGAAAATCCCAATCTCAGACCTCGCTTCAGAGCACAGTGGAGGACACGCGAGCAGATGTCAGCACAGCACTCGGTGCAGAGCGCGACACAGCCCATCAGCTTTCTGTGCTTTTCTGTCGTGTCACTTACAATGTTAAGGGCAGTTCCCCCATGACAGCCCACCCCCTCCCCAGCCCCAGGAAAAAAGAAAAACAAAGACCTAACACCACAGGTAAAGACTACGGAGTGTGTTAAAAATGCTCATTGATGGGCCATTATCTCTGAAAAAGTCAAACCAAAAACAAAACAAAACAAAAAAAAGGACCATGCCAGTTTTATTCCCATTGAATATTTACACCTTGGACAGCAAACCTTGCTCACATAAAGTAGAAAACAGATATGATAAAACATGGCTTGAAAAATGACCGGAGTATGCACCTAGAGTACTGTACACTAAATAAAATACACAAGGCAGCAATACTTAGGGGCCAGAAACACTGCTTACTACAAGTCAGTTATGGAATCATAATTTACAGTAAAAATGGGCACGTCCCAAGGCTCAATTTTTATTTTTCTTTTGTCATTTACAGTAGAATAAATATTTTGTTGCTATTGCTACACTTTAAATTTACATTCTAACCTATTAAATGCAGAAAGCTAGTGTGAAGCGTATAGATTAAGTGTAGGTCCCATATGTATGACCGTTTGTTCAAGACCAGTAGGTTTCTGTGTCTTTTTAACTTATTAAATGGCTAGTGGGAAAGGCCTGTGCTTGCGATCAGCTCTTAACCTCGATTTTTACATCAAAGCGTCCCTGGAAGCGGTCTTTCTCACTGTACCCGATGTTCTCACCATAGGCCTTACACTCAATGCGGACCTCTGTGTCCAGGGTGAGGTTGGTGAACTGCACGGCCAGCAGGGGCTGCAGGTACTTGGGCTGCAGGAGTTTGCCGTAGTAGGGGTAGTACTGCAGAGGAAAGCCAGCATAGCCACCCAGTCCAAAATATTCAATGTTGCCCACTTTCTCCTTGTCTTCATCGCGCTAAAACACAGTGAAATGCAGTTTTAATGGGTCACGGCACGGCTCACAGTCTGTGTTCTCGGGAGTAGGAGAATATCAAGCAAGGGAAGATCTGGGGGTGGGTGTCTGCCACTGCCAAAAGACCAGCTACCCAGTCTAACCCACAACCGCTCTCATAGGAGAGGATTCTCACTGTCCAAGTTGGGAAACCTAGGCAAAGACAGGTAAGCATTTCTCTAAGCCAGCACCGCCTCCTAGGAACGAGGCCATCACTAAGAGCACCTCCCAGTGAGGCCCCAGTGGGTGTGACTTCCAGTGAATAGGTTGATCTGTTCGCCTCCCATTTCTTATGCCCATGTCCCTTTTTGGTACCAGCGTCAAACAGCACTGTTTGGGATTCTCTTTTAATTGCCTTCTCTCTTAATAATTGGAGTACCTGGTTTTAGGTCTAGCGGGAAGATGTGTCAATTCTTAACCTCAATCTCACTATTTTTAAAAGAGAAATCCATAACACATCTTAGGTGACATTATTCATTAAAACAAAAAAATCAACCTTAAATACTAGCTAGCTCACCTTTCGGGTCTATAAACCATCATGTTGATGGATTATATTCAGATAAATGAGTTTCTTATGTCAACGGAGAAAGCAACATGCAGCTTTATTCTCACTAGATCTCTCTGTCCTTTCAAGAAGTTTTACCTGGTGCAATGAGACTGGTTTCTGAAAGCAGTGTTCATGTGTCATATATGAAAAATTTAACCTGAGGGAAGATCATTCACTCCTCCTCCTCCTCCTCCTCCTCCTCCTCCTCCTCCTCCGCTCTCCAACCCAACCTCAATAACCCCAAATGCGTCTTTACCTTGCCAGTGCACTGAACAGGCAGGACGTTTGGATTGTACTTCATCACTGGGTAATTCTCCAAAGACTCATTCTTAGGAGGCTAGAAATAAAACCCACATTGGTCAGTAGGATGGAAATAAACATTTTTTAGTTTCTGAAAAGTGAAACTTGCTTATGGCCCAAACAAACACTGGTCATGCTAAATGAACAGAAATAATAAAACACCTCAAGAGTGTAAAATGAGTGACTCTTCTAGCCAATCTAGGAAAAGTCTGTGAGTTTGTTGAAAGTAAGTGTCCAGGTTTTGTTAGCATCACCATTAAGCTGCTATGGAGGCCAGAACTAAATGTTAATCAAAAAGACACAAGCAAGGAGTGACTGTGAAGATTATTTACTTGAGAAGACTGACATTTCTGTTTTATAAACTTAAGCCATGAATGAATAATACCATTTTTTTTTTCTCAAGAATGACTTCTTCAAATGGGCTTTCCTTTTTTTTTTTTCTTCAATATCATCCAGGAATTGAGAGGAAGGAATATTGACATCTAAGGATGGTTTCTGTGGGGAACTCTCACATGTACCAGCAAGTGAAGCTGGCACTGCCTCAGCACACAGTGTGAAAATCACTGCCATCATAAAACACAGAGCCTTCTCTCTCGGGTTCAAATCAACCTCAGTAGTATGATGAATGTTTAATGTTGGAGAATCTATTCTCAGACAATGGAGAAACAGGTATACCAAGTAAGATGCTGATAAAAGCAATTCCAGTAACAAAGTAGTTAGCATTTGGGTGAGAGTGCTTATTAGGAGTGGAAATGGATAATCAAGCAGAGAGCAAATAGAAGGGAAAGTCAAAAAGACTCAATTCATCACTTGATAGACTATCCAGATGTAGGAAGACATAAATCATAATAAGCTAACTTTGCCTCTGTGAGGTATAAATATCACTAAGTCTTTGATGAGTATCTAAAACAAAGGATTCAGAACAGATCAGCTGCAGTCTTCTCCCATGCCACACTAATTCCTTTTTATTGATCTTGATGGAGCATTCACTAACTATGAATATCAAAAACAGTCATGGAGTAATGGTTCTCATCATTTTATTTCTAACATGATATCCCAGCCTAAGTGGGAAAAAGATTAAAATTCTGCTGATGGGGACACCAATTCCTACAAACTATCCACGAAGCCAGTCAGACAACCACTTACCCCTTTGTTGCTTCTGCTGCAACAAAGGAGCTTTGGTACACCTTTGTGTATCAAAGATTCAGGGAACCAGATTCCAGAAATGACATAGTGTATTTCACATAACATAGTGGATGGCAGTCAATCCCTATCAGAATTTAAAATTATATAGTAAGGGCAAGGCCCTGTAACGGCTAGGGAGAAGAACAGCACTGTTAATTCATGATCTGGGGAAGAGGATGAAACAATCAATTTTTAAAAAGCAGAGACGATACCAATAATATCTCTTCTCTAAAAAAAAAATCAAATTCTCACAAAATGCCAAGGAGCAGCCACTGGCAATTTTTCTGTGACTTCAAGTAATAAATATCCACTTGCCAATATGGTTATCAAAAACATTAGGCCAAGATGGTGTTCAATTTCTACTTTTACAATGAAATCATTATTCAGGGAAAAATATCTTTTCAGATTACTAAACTACTTGTAAAAAATGTTTCTAAATATCATTTTCTATTTTGCTCTTAAAGAATTTACGTGAGATAGAAACTATTACCTAGATACCTAGCAGAAGTACTAAGAACAGGCCTTCAGGACTCACTTCAAAATTTGATTTTGCCTAAATCAAATCACAGAAGTTCTGCAACTTCACAAGGTATCTACCTAACTTTAGGTAGATATGCTATCCTGAAATACACAATAGTAGTGTGCCGCTGATTAGGATCCAAAACTGGCAGTGAGTATACTTTAGAACTCCCTTGTATTATGTTTCATGTCAAGTGAGTACTTGAATAAAAAATGTGAATGGCTCATCTAAGTTTTGCAGTGTAAAATACCACTTGCCTTAGGTCTGAAGCCCAGAACTCGGTTGAGCTTTATGATGATGCAGGGTTTACCCTCTTTGTAGCCAAAAGTGTCATCATTTTGTCCAGAGCAATTTCCCAACCAGTCAAGCTTGAATCTGCACACCTTCCGTTCTCCACGTTCGTGATTGAAGTCTCCTCGTTCTTTGGGTTCACTGGGCATACCTAAAAATACAAACATCATTTTTATATTGTCCCACAGTTTTCTAGACACTGACGGACAGCAAAAGGAAACTTTCACAATTTTTTTTCTTGCCACAATTTATGACAGTGCTACTCATTAATGCATCTTCCAAATTAAGCAAGGATTTCCACCAAGCTGTCTCTCATCTCTGCAGAAGGTGAAAAATGATACTCTACCAAAGGCAACAGGTAGTATATGACCCCACATAGAAGGTGTGTGGTACTTCTTGATGAACATGTATTTGGTCTCTGGCAATATCTCTTCCTGTAAATAATGGATTGAGCAGCTATTTAGAAGATAGAAAGGAAACTGGATCCTCCTTTCTGAGCAGCAGCATTTCTATAGGCCAACACTGGCTTAGCTCAGTAACAGGAAAACTGTAGTTGAAATAAAAATGTTAAAGATTGTCAACAAGTTTTCCAACGAAGTTTTTGGCCTGAAGTTTCTGTGGAGCTATGCCCCAATTATCATGTTAAATAGTAAAGGAGGGAAGAGAAATAAGAATTTTGCCTTTGAAAGCTGTGAGTTCATATTTTGTTATAAGCATTTATCAAACTGAAAATTTTGCTATTATTTTTAATTCACATATAAAAGCCATAGGAAGCCTAAATGAATACAGAATTCAAAGCATCCTAAAGAAAAATAACAGACATTTTCAGTATATATTTGATGTATACTATTAATAATATTCTATATTTTATGAATAATCTCATTGTAATACATGATTTCTTAAATTACTATTCTTTTCTCCTAAATGGTAAAATGAAAATGTCTCAATTTAGTCCTCCTGTGAAATGATTTGCCCTGGTTATCATTTGGGTCTTTTTATTGCTACAGTATAAGATTTTTAAGAATTTTATAAATTCTAAATTTTAAAGTACCATACCTTTCAAATTCAGAAACTGTAGTACTTGAAGCTACATTGTTTCTTTCCTTGCATTTCTTATTTTTTAAAATTACCTTCTGAATGTGATCAGAATTCAGTAACTACTGAACTATTTTGAGACTTTCTCTCAAACTCAGTAGAAATGAGAAATAAGAATTAGAAAAAAGAAAAAAATAACTAAGCACAAGCATGTACAGTGAGTTTACTTACTACCACAGTCCTCGAAAATCATGTCATCCTTCTGGGCCGTATCTCTGTATTTTTCCAGGAACCTAATTATGTTCAGCACATATGCCTCATAGCTCTTGGGATTGTTAGGATTAAAGGAAATTTCAGTCTTTTGGATCTGAGGAATCTGTGTTAATCCTAGACCGGGAAGAATTAAAAAGACACAAAAAGTCATTAGTACAAAGTCAATCAAGACGTGTTAGATTCTCTGGCACAAGCATACTATGCTAAATTTACCTGGCTAAGAAGGTTAGATTCTTGCCTCCCTTTCAAAATCAATCCTGTAATGATTTAAGTAACAAGTATAAGGACATAGCCTTAAGACCTCATGCCATTCAATTTCCTTGCATTTTATGAATGAAAACACCACTGCCCAAGGTCTTACAGAAAGTGGTAGAGCCAGATTTCCAAAATGGCAAGGCACTCCAAAGTCTGTTATTCTTCTAGTACACCTTTACAGGCATTGCCAGCTAGCATTGTGCATGGGTGGCTTCCATTCCATGGTGAGCTGTCAGGCACCTCTGCATTCCTGTCAGTAAGGTTATACCCATCACAAACTCTGGACTCAACACTACACCACAGAAACCTCTTTTAGAGTCAACTGGGGAACTGGGAATATACATCCAGTTCCCAGTACAAAGAAGCATGTCAGCACTAGTCAAGGTAAAATTCAGATTATGTCTACAGTGGGTCTGCCCAACGTTTCTATGTCCCAAAGCCTCTGCATGCCACACATCGGGGCACCGCTGGACAGTCAGTGGTCTTCTACCCCCGAGTACCAGATGCCTGATTAAATTCCAATTTCACATGAACAACAAATCATTTTTTTAGTAAGGACACTGTTCTCTGAAATTTGACTTGAACCAGGCATCTCAAGCTTTCAATGGCTACCTCTACCTCTGCGTGTTCGGTCCGGAAAGTGTTGCATCATTCCAACTACTTGTTCATAGCTTTGCCAAGTCTTCCACGGCATTCCCTGGCAGGCCAGGAGAGCGACTCCACACTCAAGCAAGGCGGCTTAAACACACAGCCCCCACAGCACACCAACCACCATCTCTAAGGCTGGACTTTGAGAATCTCTTGAACAGGCATGAAGAGGGCCTGAAGCACCCTCCATTTCCAACTACCACTCTAGGGAATTAGAATATACGAGCAGCAGCAGCGAAGGAGATAAGAGCATGATTAAAATGGACGTAAGTTGAGTGTATTAACTATTCCGCAGCACTGTTTGTGGGGCTTGAACACCAGGTTTCAGTGAGAGCCGGAATAAATGGTGGTTATCTTTACTCAGACAGTGCGGAGTGGAAAGGGTGGGGATAGACAATGAACTTGAAGTGGAGAGCGGGGCCGAGGCTTCAGGAGTGACATTAGAACTGTATCAAAAGGATACCATCGGCAGGGAACTCAGGAAACATTTACTAGGAATTTTCAAGAAATCTCAAAAGGGAGATAGGAAACTAGAGGAATGTCTGCAATGAAAGCTGTCAACAGTGATGGAAACGAAACGGAAGTCACAGAATTGGCTTCTCTGCTCTTTAACAAAAATCTTGTTTAAACACTACCACAGACAGTTGTACCATTAGGAAAGAAAAATCTTATAAGCCGCAGAAAAAATTTCATACTCAAGCAACTTAAAGATAGCCTGAACAATCTTCTAATGATGGGAGCGAGTGGCGTTCTAACCGTGAGGAAGCATTGCAGTGAGCGATTAGGCAGCTGGGAAGAGAAGGTAAACAGAGCGAGGGCAGAAGCTTGCTCTGAATAGCCAGGGAGAAGATGGGAAGACAGCTAGGAAGACTCCTTCTTGGTTTGAGTCATAGACAGCCATTTCAGTAAGAGGCCTGGCCTGGCCTGGCCTGTGGCCTGGCCCGGGAGGAGAGGCAGGGGGTCCACAGCCAGAGGCTCCTGACACCTCAGGAAGACGCAAGTTCTCTCTACAGCTCCGAGTCACGAGCCACGCCCTGGAGGCCACTGGGCAGGCCGGACAGATGGCAGGCGAACGCCTGGGAAGTGCTCTGGCAGAAACAGACAGAGAAGACCTGTGTGCACGGGGCTGCTCCGCGTTCCAGACCTGAGGTGAAGACAAAATGAAATGACGGAAACCAGGGGCAGCTCTCCCAACCTTCAGTGAGGAGGGAGAGGAAAGAACTGGAAGGACCTTAAGTGTGATCACAAACAGCAATGTAAGCTGGCAGCAGAACCAATGATGCAACAAAAACCAAAACGCTAGCGAAAGACACAGCCAGTACGCGACGCAGGTTCACAAGGGGAAGTGACCCGAGAGGGCTGCATGAGTAGGCCCGGGGACCCGACTACAGAGCCATCTGTTAACGGCTCACCTCATGCCCGAAGATATCCAGGAGGCCACCTTACTTAAGGTTCCATGACCTCCCTGGGGTGGGCTTCAAAGAACTCTCCTTCCTCACAGTCACGGTCCATCTCTCAGGTTACCATCTGCTCTGGGTTGCCCGTCTTGACTTCATCCGGGGCCTAAGGGCTGAGACTTTCTCTTTCTAGGAGCTAGCAGAGCTCAGCACTCAGAAGTCAGCTCAGAGTTCAGAGCTCAGCTCGCAAAGATCTCTGGTGAGATCTTCACCAAATCAGTAGGAAAACACTGCTCAGAAGTAATTTTCTAAAACAAGTCAGATACAAGAAGCAGAGGAATAATGTTCAAACCCTTCAAACCATTTACGGTGCTTTTATCCGACTACGGGAAGGGAGCCGGGCCGGCTCAGGCGGCTCTTTGACTCGGCTCCCCAAGAGAGACCCCCAGCAGCTGCAGGTCCCCCCTCGCTTCCGCAAGTCCCCGTCACTTGTTTTCCTACCAGATCCCATCCTCTCAGGATGTACCACAGATGAGAAAAGATGGAAGGCATCTCAACAAGGGCGACCTTTGTTTGCACTGGTAACATCTACAGGCCAAAGGTAACAGAGCGACCAACTGCTGGCTTGTGCTTTCAAACTGAACTCCAGGAAACAGATCTCATCTTTTGCCTCATCGGTCTTCTAAACTTGAATTAACCAAGCCAAGTTTTATACAGCTTTGCCCCAACTGAACCATCTGCCTTAAACTACGGATCATTATCCAATAAAGTCAACAACTTGAGCAAATAAAATTTTCATATTTGGTTTTCAACAAGGACTACGTTTGCTGTTTGGAGATACACTGGCCTCCCGGCCTCCCATCTCTGAAGAGCAGATGGGAAGCTTTCCCAACTTCATCTTTCGGCTTCAGTAATAATGTTCAGAGCAAGAGGGTGAATGACAAGAAAAAGATAGGGAACGTAAAGACAAAAGAAAAAATTTTCCTAAGAAGTATTTTGTTTCCAAATAGGTTTATAACTTAGCAAGATTCTAATGCCTCAATCGGTTTGTGGAAGTATTTAGGCAGCCATTTTAGCCTTGTAGCAGTTACTCTAGTAAATCCCAAAGCCCAGCTGTACTTGTCACTTAATACATCTGATGAGTCAGTAGCCAAATACACTGAGCAGCTCAACAGGCATCATTTTTCCATAGAAACCTGCTGGGGGAAAGCAGGTGACTAAGAGCACAGGAAGTAAATTCTTCCAATGTAACCATGCACACCATCCTCCCTCACCACCTGTCTCCCATACATTATCCTTACGAGTTGAAAAGCAGCCTGGGAATGTTTGTTGGCTCACACCTGTCCTCCTCTACTCAGGAGGATCACAGCTGAAGCCAGCCCAGGCCAAAAAGAAAAAAACCAACTCTCCATCTCCAAAATACCCAACAAAAAGCCAGGGTGGAGCTGTGGCCCAACCGTCAAGTGACAGATTGTTAACCAAGCGAGTCAGGCCCTGAGTTCAAACCCCGGCACTGATGAAGAGTCAAGGAGTAGAAGGTGGTTTCCAAAGGCCAGCACGGTGGTACACACCTGTGAGCCTGGCACGGGGAGGCCGGAGCAGCGCATTAGCCAGTGCAGGCCACAGGCTGCAGAGGAAAGTCTGAGGATGGCCTCAAAAGAGTTTAAACTGGGGAAAGGGATCGTTCAAATGTGTTCTCTCTCTCTCTCGCTCTCACACACACACACTTTCCCTTTTTGTAGAACTTAAGGTAGCACTCAATTTTGTTTCTTTACCTCCATGAGCTAGTATCAACTTACCTAACACAAAGAGAGTATGGAAAGGGGAAGAAAAGTTCTGTGCCTGGAAACTAGGGCCTTGGACTCACCTCTGCCTTTGGGTCATCCTGTGACCCCGTTGCCTGGACTGGCCAGAAATTCATCTCTGTATCCATCTCAGACCGCAGAGTCTGAGAAAAGTCTTAGAACTGTTTCACTGCTCCATAGCCTACTTCGGTGTTTGCAATAATCCTTGGTTTATAGAAATTTTCCTCCCATCTGCGTTAAATGCCACAAACTCTAGCTGTAGACCCTTTTCCATTTTTGGAGAAGGATTTTTTTTTAAATTGTAGATTCATTTTGGGATAATCAAATGAAAAATGCTCTTAAAAAAATACAGCCAGGTACCTAAAATCCTAGTTAATCAGAAGACTGAGATCCAATGACCTTGAAGCAGCCCAGGCAGAAAAACCTGGGAGAATCTTATCTCCAATTAACTAGCAAAAAGCTAGAAGTGGAGATATGCCTCAAGTGGTACAGCACCAGGCCTTGAATGGATAAAACTAAGCAAGAGCAGAAGGCCCAGAGTTCAAATCCCAATACCAGCATTCATGCCGTACCCCCTCCCACTGTAAGTACTTACAACGTCGGAGGGACATTATGTTTCATATTTTGATAGGTCTTCACGTACTTACCCCCAGTACAGGAAGTGTACCACTTCACCATTTTTATAAAGGGAAAAGACATACATCTTAGTGTTTCGTACTGATCATGCTTTCTTGCTCAAGGTCAAACAAGAACGTAAGAGTATATGTGACTTGTCTAAATTCAGTACATACTATTTGCTAGGTACTAACAGCTTGAAGTAAGATAGGGACATTTGATGAGATATAGTCATGTATGTGTGTGGGAAAAGAGGAGCATTCCTGGTGAGAAGCCATTGGATAATCCATCCCCAGTTCCCTTCATCTTCCCCAGTCCTTTCTGAATCCGGTGGGCCCGTATGTCACAAGATTACTAGCCTAAAATCCTTAGATTATTCAAGAGCAACCAGTCCTACCTGCCAGATTTCAGGATGGTAGAAGTGAAGTGTGGGGCTAATACCTTTCCCACTACCAGCCTCCCCACTGTGGTCCTTTTCTTGGATCAGTGCCGCCGTCAAATCCTTAAATGCATCTTTATAAATCCAGCTTAGGATTTTATCAGCATCTGCATGACTTTGTTACCTGTTCCTGCTTTGCAGAGGGATCTCTGTGAAGAGAGTTCTTCAAATGAGCACACAGAGTGAGTCTCACTTTGCTGTGACTCCAAGAACAACTTAATGTTCATCTTTAGGCTTGTTACAGACCCAAGAATTGTCATACTCTGGAAATAAAGAGCTACGTGGGTAGGTGAGTTGCTGCAGTCAGCTTCTTCCTCCCTAATCCTTTTACCAAACCAAAGGCTAAGCAGTAGCTCCTGGGAGCCAGCTCCGCCATCAACACTCACTCATCCACAGCTCAAACTCTGGGAACAGACTTAGGATCTATCTGAGGGCAGGAAGAGAGGAGGAGGAAAACAAGTGAGAAAGTCAGACCTGCATGCGGTGTCAGCTGAGACATCACAAAGCAATGCATGGTAACCTGAAACACCAGAAAAACACCGTACTGACACTTGAAAGAATTCCTCCCACAGTCTAAGGAGGCAGAGTTTCTCCTTTGAAATCTGAGTAAGAGTGATACAGATGTGACACTGTAGGCTGAAAACAGTTTTTCTGAGATGAATGCAATCCCAGCAATTTTACTTAAGCACACTGACTTGCACTGCCACGGCTCCTCCCATGGATTTTAAAATCCGACCAGTCTCTTTCAGACAAGATGAAGCTGAAAACACTGCCAGGGACTGTGAGGTCTGCTGTCTTTCCCAACCCTACTTTCTGCCCAATTCTGGTTACTAAGGTGCTAAGAATATGACCCTTTCAAAATGAGTATACACTTACACCTTTGTACCGGGAAGCCAGCCAGGTGGGACTACCCCTGTAACTAGGGATCGACACACAGTGACCTTCAGTTCACTGAGGAACTGCTAACGGAGCCTCTGTGGAGGAAGGGCAGCAGCAGATGGGAAGAAGACTTTTTTCCATTACACCACAGGGCAGGCCACAAGGCCGTCAGGGTCAAATCAAGGACAAGGCCTGGTGAATCCTCACAGTGAATGCACGTGCGACTGCTTAGAAGTGTCTCTTCCTAGATCTTCATTAAGGGGCTGAGACAAGACGCTGCTCAGCACCATGGGAGGACACGCCGTCCCGCTCGACCACAGCCCGCAGGTTAGTGGAAGAGATCATGAAACAAACCCGGTGTCCTTTAGGGTCACACAGAATTCTTCACAAATATGTCTTCTACTCCCGTATCACCCAAACACTTCTTGTGGCAAACTGAAGTTTTTATCGCTTTCCATGAAAATTTAACTTTGGAAAGCATTCTTGCTGTGTCATACGAAGTTCTGTTTGGAAATTCTGTATTTAAAAAGAAACTACTTCTTCCAGTAGAAGGCTGAGACGGCTATCAACAGTTTATCTGATGCCGTTAGTTTTGTCCTTACTAATTACCACTTGCCTTGCATACATTACCTAATCATCTTAGGGTATTTCTCCTATTTTACAGATGAGAAAATGGAGGCCCGGGGTGGCTAGGCAGTACTGGAGTGATGGGCGCTGTGTCCAGCTGTTAAATCCTGCTTTTTCCTTATCTCTACTCTGAACCTACTCCTAATCCCTTAGGGCTTCCAGGGTGGCGTTGGTGTTTAGATTAAGGCAGTATGATATACTGGGTTTGGCCACCCACACACAGGTTATTTGGAAGAGATCTAGTGACACAGTATTTTGATGCATAAAGGGTACTCATTCAGGCTTGGTTTTGTATTCATTCCTCAAATTCAATGCGTAATGACATTCGTAAATACTTTTCTTCTTAAAATAGTATTGTTGTTCATACTTGAAAGATATGCATCCAAAATTAAATCCTTTTCTCTTAACCATCACTGAAATGGAGGCTTCGAGACCTTATGTTAAAGTCCAAAAATTGTCAAAATATTCTTCCATCCTTCTCTGCAGTCTAGATACTTGTCATTGACTCTCCAAATACAATTTCTACACATCTGCTCCAAAAGGTGCCATGAGATGGCTCTAGTTATGGCCTTAGAAATGGTGCAGAGACTGCATTTGGCACCCAGCACTCCAGAGACCTCATTGAAGATTACCATAACTTCCAAAAAGAGCACCGAGTCCCTCAGGAGAGACACACAGAAGCTCCACGAGCTAAGGAAAGGTGGTAGGATGTCCGCATAGACTCTCCAGACAAGGTTATAAGTAAGAAAGGGGAGGGACAAAATTACCCAGGCAGAGAGCAAGAGAGACAAATGGGCAGGTAGAAGACTCAAGACTTGCCTGTGACTCAGACTACAGGACAGGAATGCATGTTTCCAAGATGAGCCACCAGCATTCCTTTGCAGAAGAGAGGTTTTGTCAGGTCAGTCCAATTGCTATGAGCACACTAAACTTAGGTACTAAGACCTTGTCTTTTAGGAAGGGGAGCTGGAGGAAAGGGAGGAGGGAATAAAGGAGAGAGGGACCTGGGATGGACTGAATACCTCAGACAGGATGGGCAATGTCATTTGCAAATCCTCACTTAAAAGGTTAGGTGTTTCAGCGAGGTGAAATTTCCCTTTTTTCAAGGGTCTGGAGAAAACGTTTTATTAAATGCTGATTCTCCCAAGGTTATTTAATCAGTGCCCCTTTTGCTTGGGAAATTACTTCATAGTCATTTTTGCTATGAGTACAAGAATTTTAAAATAATACCATGAATAAAAAATAGCTTTTAAGTGGCAAAACCAAAGGTCTACATAAATTTGCATCATTACTAACGCTACTGTAAAATTCTAACAGAAGCGGAAAGACAAAGAGACATCATGCTTTATTATGACAGAAGTCCGGGTAATACATTTATTTCAGACCCTAAATCTCTCTGCCAATCAGAATCTTTGTCCAATTTTGCCACAGACCCACCTTTTTGGGGGATAAAGCTGCTGGAAACTACCGGTTATTAACCAGGTTTGTCACTTTATATACTTACACGCATTCTTCTTCCACTCCCACCTAAATTTATCTGGAGACACTTCTTCTTACTCTCAAGAACTACTTGACTTAGACACTGTTTGTCACCTTATTGTGCAGATTTTCTTCTTTCCCACACCCACAAGAAGGCAGCATGACACATCTCCAGAAGGCAGTCACGCTCCCTCTGGATGGCTTACTGCCATGCAAAGGGCCTTCCCACTGTCCCCTGCAGACAGCTGCTACCCAACTGCTGCCCAGAGGGAAGTGACAAGTCGACATCACCTCCAACACCTCAAGGGCATTTTAAGGCGAAAGCTTAGAAGTTGTGCAAGTTACTCAGTTTTTCTTCTCCCTCCCCCCATGACTTGGAGAAGAATGACAGTAAATTCACTGTTGCGGTGCTGCTGGCTTTCCGGGTCCTGGGCGTGATGACAGAGACCTTCCAAGGTGTGTGGGGACTGGTGTGGACACAACACAGCTGCGCGGAACTCACACAACACCCAAGCACTAAGGGATCCGTGGGGCAGTTTGCAATTTCTATGATAATCTTTTGTTCACTTAAGGTTTTAAAACTAATAGGGCAGCTAAACTGGAAAGAGGGTTCACAAAGTCAATATAAAAGACAGGCAAAAAAAAAACAAAACCCAAACCCACCAAACAGGTAACATTTTATGAAGTGCAAAGACTGTTCAAGGTCAAAGCGCAAATCTATAGGAAAGAGGGGGAGAACAGAGCTCTGAAATCATGGCTCCTCGCTCTGAAGCAGATGGCCCATCTCAGAGCTTCTAATCACCTCTAAAAATAAGCTAACCTTTTAAAATGGGAGCCAAAGTGAATTCTCTGGAGCATTTATGAGTCATAGCCCCTCGAGAAGGTGAAAACCGTGCACTGGAGCTGACAAAGGCCCCGAGATGATCCCTCTCGGCAAGACCTTGAACGTCAGCGCCAAGGAGACTGAGCCTCTTCCAGGAGCTGAAGAGCTCGCAGTCATGCAGTTGGTGAGTCAGGCTGGGGAAGAACAAGGCCCTTCCCTCTCACGCCAGAGCTGCGCAAATAAGATGTCTGTCACCCTAGGGACAAGGGGATGCATGCAGATTTGCCTGCCGCAGAGTGAAGTTATTGTTCTTTCCATGCTTCGCTTAAAACTCTATTACAGAGCAATTTTCAGGTTCCTTGTCCACTGAAAAAGTAACATCCCTTTTACCTCTGGAAGAACAGAAGCTAGTCACATGGATGTCTTTACCTGGAGGGGCCACCCGGTCCTGGTATGTGGGCTTCAGTTCACTGATGGTGAGCAGCATCACTTGGATGGTTCCAATGAAAATGCCAGCCAGGCAGCCATAAAATATTACATAGAACAGAAGGATCTTAACTGCAAGAGAACAGACACACACAAAAGGCCGTGATGTAGTCACGTGCTCAGAATCAAAGCCTGACCTTCCCGGGGATGAAGGAGCTTTCTTCCAGGTTCCTCCCCAGCCTGTTTCTCCAGAGCCTCCTTTCCCGATGCCGATCAGGAGCAGAGTGAACCTCACTCTTTGGAGGCGGAGGAATCGCTCAACTACAATAGTCCACGAGGAAACAGCCTTATTCTCTAAGAAGAAAAACGGTCAAGATCACCAAGAAAAATCCATAGTTATGTTTGTGCGCCTCTGCCACGCGTTTAACGTATGACATCACACCTCCTCAGAGAGGTGCATTCTTTGCTTGTTTATCCCTTGACATTAAACACTGCACTTCAGATTCTGCCATTCCAAAAAATCCAAAACAAAAAAAAAAAACAACTAACGCTTCAGAATTCCTATGACAGGGGTGACAGAGTGACGGATGCCAAGAAGCCCAGCGGAGCCCTCCTCTCTACCATCAGCCTACCTCTGGCTTTTAACCAGGGACATGTGTTTCTCCTCAGGGGACACTTGTAGGGGAGAATCCTATAGTACAAATGAGTGGCACATTTCTATCTGAGCTTCTGACTGGCACCAGAGTAATGACTGCTTGATGAGACTGCATTTTCATTTTCTTATGGTTAACAGGATGGCTGCTAAAATAGCTGCAAATGGGAAGGAAAATCTCTCTCTCTCACACACACACACACACCACCACCACCACCACCACCACCACAAAATACTATCCCATATATTGATATAAGGCTATCAGTTACTGGTTTACAAGGATTATCTCCCTGATTAGCTGTATGGTAACAGGCTGTACTAGGCATCGCTGGGCAATTCTGTGCCAGCCAAACAGATCAGTGTCAATGCAAAAGGGGGAACGGACAGCCTGTAAGGTTATGACCACCTCAAAGAGCCTTCGAGTATTTCTAAAAAGATCCAGATCAAATGCAGTAAATGTCAGAGTCCTTGGGGAAAAGCCACAGAACAAATGTATTAAAAAGGGGTAGGTGGGGGCCAGAGAGGGAGAGGTACACACTTGTGGAAATTAGCCATATGGCCTTTTCTGTGCTTAAAAGTCCAACTTCCCTCTCAGGAACAAATAGTTCTGGGCAATTATGCTATAGAGCAGTTAAGCAGAGCACATCCTAAAGCCACACCAAAATGCTTAATCATAATCCTTTTGTCTTCTACTCATAGAGAAGACGGGGGTGGGGTGGGGGAACCACAAAAAGACAGCAAAAGTAAGGAAGAGGGAAGCTACACCCCACTCAATCACTCCCTTCCAGCAGGGCAAGAGTTAAGTGCTGCATTCGGTATCTAAGCAGCAGTAGTCAAATGGCAGACTGTGACGTCAAGAGATGTGGAAAATTTTCCAGTGAATGCTCCTAAGAGGTGCATGAAGAGTTGGTGTACCACAGTCAGCAAGGCAGCCCCCATGGCCCGATTCATGGTTTCTTCCCTATTTTGTTCCTTTCTAAGCCCCTCTGAATGCTCTCAGCTTATTCTCAATTGCCTCTTTAACAACTGGAACATTTCTATTCATTTCCTGGACTCCAGATACCTAATCCTGACAGTCTAAGAAGGTACATGATTGAAGGTACAGTTTAAAACAGAGTGGAGGAAAAATAAGTCATTTTGCAAGCACGCAGAATAACTGAAGGCATGTACAACCTTCCTACCCTGCCTGGAGGGTAGGTGAAAAATGAGGAATTTTCCTCTTTTTTTTTTTTGCTCAGAAATATTAACAAAATCTCCCTAGTTACTGCTGTGATGTCACTTGGTTGGACTGAGCGTGTGTATCTGGTGAGACCCATGCACCATAGACTTGTATTAAAAAAAAAAAAAAAAGCTGAACAGCTAGGGTGGAAGCCTGGGTGTGCAGGATGTCTGAGGGGAGCTGAGCTTTAGCGGCATTTTTCCCTTGAAATTTCTTTTCTCTTGTTTAAAGTACAAGTATTATCGAGGCTTTCAGTTAGGAAAAAAAAAAACTACCCTTCAAAAGGTTATTTATAGGTAGATGGGGGGAAAAAAAGGCATCGTGCCCATCTTGTTAAATACCAATGCCTGCATTATGTTAACTAATCAAAAGACAGAAAGCACAAAATAATTTGCATGCCATGATTTCTCCAGCAGGTGCCAGGCTGGAGTCTCCTGCGTCCATCTTGGTAAAAATCTACCTATAAGCAAAAGCAAGCCAAGGGCATCCTGCCCTCGCCCCAAGGGCATCGTGCATGTTGAGCCCAGAGCTGGAATGTAGGCGTTTTCTCCAAATGAGACAGCAATTGCTGCCCCTTTCCCTAACTAAGACAAGCTCTGCTATTTCCTTACATTGCTAGGAAGGCGCAGATGTATTAGCACAGAACAAAAAGTGGGTTTTTAGTCTATTGTGGGCACCTTAGCCCGTGTTAGATGACAAACTCACTGCGTAAATCAGTGTATCGATACTCTGCTGGATGTGACTGGAAAGAGGCAAACATTTACTCTTTCTCTCACTGTCTCTGTCTCTCTCTAGCTTGTCTCTCTCTGTGGTACTGTCCCATTAAATGTCAGTTGAAAGAGCAAATTGTGTTCCATACTGCCTTGTCCCTAAAGCAAATATTGTTCTAAGAAGCATGAAATTGGAATGAGGAAAGAAACATATTTATGAAGGCAGAAACAACTTGAGGGCAAATTTCACAATGTACCCAGAATCAATGCAGCTCCTGGTCCTGAGACGCCCCAGGGGTCAGACCACCAGAGAAAGAAGCCCAAGCTAACCTGGAGGTTCCGCAGTGCACCCGGCAGGCCTCACTCTAGCTACAAGGAGTTGGTAGGGGACAGCCCTTGCAGGGAGCTCTTCATCCTACATACCCTTTAGTTCTTCAAGTCTTCTCTTCCATATTAAGAAAACGCAAGGGAGGGCCTTTATTCCTGAGACATTATAACCATAAGCCTTCGGAAGCTCACAATCACCCCCTCTCAAAAAATAAAATTTTACATGAAATAGAAAGCCATGACTTTCAAAAACTACATTTTCCGTGGCTCAGGGACACCTATGCTCTCCCAGTAATACCTTGGAATAAGGCTTCACCTTGACTAACCTTGAAATATGATGCATTATTAACCCTTTATTTTTCAATCAAACTCCCTACAAACTGCTTTATTCCCCTTATTTAAAAAAAAAAAAAAAAAACAGTAACATATTTCGGCTTCTTGCACTTCGAAGTGTGAGCCAAGCCCTATTTCCCTGACTCATGCTCCTGCTGATTTCCACAGACCCTCCCAAGCAGGATGCTGCTCTGGCCCCTAACAGGGCTCCCTTCATGACTGCAGTGGTGATGCTGGAGGGGTGGAGGTGGTGGAGACACCTGAGAAGGGAGGGGGGGGGCAGTGGCGCAGGGCGGGAGCTCCCTCCCTCCCTCCCTGACCCCTCCCTTCTGCAGTCACGACTCCTAGATGTGTCTACAAGGATGCCCTTCAAAATGACCTTTAGGAAAATGTCACCCTTCGGGTGTAGGGAGGAAAGAACGCCAGAGCCAGGTCTCTCATTTTCGTGGGCCGTGTGAGGGGGGCTGTCGGCCCGGCAGAGCCACAGGCCGCGCAAACAGCTTCCATCGGGGGAGACGCGTCTGCAGTTTTCCTTCCACCTGGCCCTCTACGGCGATCAGAGCTGGGGGGCGAGGGGAGGCTGCCAGGCTTCGAGGCCGGAGTCCTGACGTGAATCCGGCCGGGCCGACTCCGGGGAAGGTCACCGGAGGAAACCCTAGCCCGGCGCGGAATGCCGCAGTGGGGCAGGATTCCCGCCCCTCCCGTCCGCGGTACGGATTTAGCCTACGAGGAGGACGCCGCCGCCCCGTCCCGCCGGCCGCGGGTCGGGTTACCGCCCGGGACCATGCCCCCCCTTCCCCCGGGGCGAGGGGCGAGTCCGGGACCCCGGGCCCCAGCATGCATCCGCAGAGCGGGGACGAGGCGGGGTGCGCACCGCCTGCGCCCGATCGCCACGGCGCCCCCCGCCGCGGCCGGGCTGCGGGCGCCGCAGCGTCCACCGCCCCCGCCCCGGGCCCGCGCCGAGCGAGGCGAGGGCGGCGCCGTCCGTCCGCGGAGCCCGCGCGGGGATGCGGCGGCGGCGGAGCGGGGCCCGGCTGCAGACCCGCACTTACACCAGCTGCCGCCGGTCCGGCCGAGGAACTCCTTCTTCTCCGAGTTCCAGATGAATTTCTTCCAGCCGCCCTCCTCCTTGGCTTTTCCGCGGGCCATGGCGGCGGGTCAGCGGCGGGGCTCGGGGCGGCGGCGCGGGGCGCCCTGGCGTCCTCCTCGCCGGCGGGGCGGCTGGCGGGGCCCGACGCTCGGCTCTGCGCAGCCCGGACGCGCCGCGCGCTGCCGCTGCGGCTCTGCGAGTGCCGGACGCGCGGCGCGGGGGCCGGGCGGGAGGCGCGGGGCGGGGAGCGCGGCGCGGCGCGGGGAGGAGGGGCGGCCGCGAGGCTGCGCGGCTCCGAGCCACCAACCTACGGGTGGGCGCGCGCGCGGCCGCTCGCCCGGGGCTGCCCGGGGTCCGCCCCGCGCGCCCGGCGCCTCGGAGGGCTCGCGGTGCGGGAGTGCACGGGGAGCGGGGCGGCTTCGCGGACCCGCCGCCGAGGACGCGTGCCGGACCCCTTCCCCCCGCCTGCGGCGACCTCCACGGACACCGGCCGGGGGCCGCGACTGTCAGCGGCAAGGACGCCCGGCGGACCGCAGGCCCCGCACACACCCGCGCGCGCCGGCCGCCAGCCGAGGAATAGGCTGTGGGCGCGCGCCCCACCTTTACTATATACCGCGCCTTCGCGCCCCGGGGCCCCGCCCCCGGCCGGCCCGGCCGGCCAATCGCCGCCGCCCGGGGGCGGGGCCTGAGGCCCGAAGGGGCGGGCGCGGGGCTGGCACAAAGGAGCCGCCTGGGCTTGAGGGGCCGGCTGCAGAGGCGGGGGCGCAAGGACGGCGCGGCGAGGTGTGGGGGGGCGTCGGTGGGGGGGGGTCGGGGGAGACCCGTGACGGACACACAGCCCCCTCCCCGCCCCTCCTGTGGCGGGGCGGCCCGCGCTGGAGCCCCTCACAGACCGGGGGACCCCTCCCCGCCCCCCGGCCGCGTCTACCTCACGCCTGCCTGCGGGCTCTCCCGGCTCTCCGGGGCCTGGGGAGGCTCGGGTGGGGTGGGGTCACTCCGGGACGCCGCTGACCCCGCCCGGCCCCGCCTTGGGGCTCGGACACCTGCCTCCCCCGCCCCCCCGCCGCGGCGGCAGTTCCGGCCCGGGCCGCGCTCGCCGGGGGCGGGACACCTGCCGGACCCGCCGGGGCGGCCGCGCGGGGCCCGGGCCCGCGGGGGGACGGCCGGGCAGCGGGGCGCGGGGCGGGCTGTGGCCGGCGGCAGCCCCGGGCGGGGGGGCGGGCCGCCCACGTGGGCCCCCGGCCCGACCCCGCGCCCCGTCAGCGTGGACGGCCCCCGCGTGGACGGGCGCCGGACGCTCGCTCCCCCCCCCGCCCGCGGCGCCCCCGGGCCGCGCGTGACACAGCAGAAAACGCGGGGGTCCCGGCGAGGCCCGCGGCCGGCAGGCGGGGCCCGCGGCGGGGTCGGCCGCGCCGGGGAGCGCGTCCCGCGCCAGGTCCCCGGAGCCCGGCCGCCGAGCGGGCGTCCCAGGCCACCTGTCTACCGGGGCCGCGGCCAGGGGTCGGCCCAGGGCCTGAGCACAGCCTGCCCGGGGAGGAGGCGGCCGCTTGCCCGCCGCGCGGGGTGCGAAGGGCCGGAATCCGCACACAGAGCCGGGGAGGACACATGGAAGCAAGTTGGAGAGTCTTTCCCTGTTCTGACCCAGGCCATTCCCCACCCCCATTCTTCTTCCCTACCCCCTCTCCCCCCCAAACTTGCTCTGTGCCAAGAGGTCTCCAGTGACAGAGGTTTGTCTTTGTTTTGTCTTTTTTTTTTTTACTGGTCTTGAACTCAGGTCCTGGGCTAGCGCTCTACCACTTGAGCCAAGATGCCATTTCTGGCTCCTTCTGAGTAGTATATTGGAGATAAGAGGCTCAGAGACTTTTCTGCCAAGGCTGGCTTTGAATTGCGATCCTCAGATCTGAGCCTCCTGAGTAGCGAAGGATTACAGGTGTGAGCCACGGGTGCCACCCCAGTGACAGAGTTTTCATTAGAACTCCTTCTCTCCTTTTGTGTTTCCTTAAGACCAAAAGCCCTTAGCTCTCCAGAGCCAGGTACCTGTCACATGCACCAATGCTGAGTCGGGTAAAATAGGTTTTCTCTCTTGTCCTACTGTCTTCCTCTGACAGACATCTCCCACTCTCGGATTTTAGTTCTCTGGTGGTGTTTGCTCAGTCTCCGGAGTTTAAACTGCTCCCTCAGGTTTTGATTTTAAACAAATCCTGAGGGTCGTGTCTGTAGACCCAAGGCCTTACCTCATTCTAAACCAGCAGGCCTCTTAGAAACTTCGTTGTGCCCCCCTAAACCTGGTATTGCTGCTGAAGAATCCTATCTCAGCACCGTGGGAACCATACTTCTCCCAGTGGCTCCGTGCAAGCTCCATTCTAGACCATCTGCCATTTTCTAAACGTGTAATTCGCCTCCTACTGTAGGCAGAAAGGACAAACTTACATGTACTTTCCTACCTTCAGTATTGGCCAGCTGTGTGACCTTGGGCAAGTCACTTGTTCTTTTCAAGGCTTTCCCTGAGGTTGTAAAATTGGAGTGATACATTGTAGCAAGGATTAAATGGGAGATGTGTGGAAGTGTTAAGCACAGTGCCCGGTGCATAGCAAGAGCTATTAAATGACTAGCTTAATTATAATTCTTCTGTTTCCACCAGACCTTGCCTAACCTTGGGGCTGTTATGACTTTACCACCTTCTAAGGCAGATGCCTACCCTCTGCCAGAACTCGGAGTTCCCATCAGGCCTTGGCAGGTCACCCTGACTATGTCTCCACCCTCCATACCACCTTTCCCCTTGCATCCCAACATGCTTCCTGCTCCGTGGCCTCCACTAACTCCCATAATGAATAACTCAAGCACATAATGTCCCTTTGGATTGTACTGGGCTGGGCTTTTACTCCAAGGCCCCTGCTGTGAAAGGTGCCCTAGGAGCAGGTTGAAAGCGAGAAGTGCCCGCTCTGCAGTGGGCGTGTGACTGGGTGCAGAGGGAGGCACCGGCCTGGGGGAACCAAGGAAGTGGTTCCATACCTATCTGTGGAATGTGCAGTATTTCTTTGCCGAACAAAGAAATTCTCCAGCTTGGTGGAAAAGGCTCAGGGCAAGAACCGTTTTTAATCCGGTTCTCTATGCTGGCTAGGGAAGAGGCAGGAGTCTTGTGATTGGCTTTGCTCAAGGTGAATGTTCCGTGTGTAGGTGGATAGAGAAGTATCCAGCAGAAATGGTAATGGAAGAGAGAGAGACTGACAGAGACAGAGACAGACCTCGGCTCCAGTGAGGATGTCAGATTTTCTGACTCAGAGAAAGCCAAATGCTGTTACAATTGAAGCACAATCTACTTGGGGCTAGAAATGGGGTCGGGCAGGCGAACAGGACGAGGCATTCCTGTTTAAAACAAAATGACCAGCCAGAACCTAGGCTGAGAAAATTGGACAAATCAACCCCCAACAGCAAGAACCTTCTGCTCAAGGTCAGAGAGGCTAAAATGGAGGTGCCCGCAAAGGAAGGGGTGCAACTGGACAGGCTTGCATGAGAGAGAGCGGATCTGATACACACAACTCCCCTGAGCTCCTGGCTCTCTGGACCCCTCAGCCCTCCCAACCCCTTTGCCAAACACAATGCAGTCCACGCTGCAGAGGGCTGCAGAGGGCTGAGCTGCCAACCCCACATTCCCACACAAGCTTGCGCACACGGTGGGGGTTCTTTACAGCCAGCCCCAGAGTATTTTAAGTACCGAGTGGAAGGGGATGAGGGGATGTGTTGCGTGGTGACTCATTGTGGCAGCAGAGATTGTGTGCAGTGCAGAGGAAAATGGTTCAATGGCAGGCTGTGTTTGCAGTAGAAAGCTACCCGGATGCTCAGCTGTGCGTTGGAGAGCTTAGGAGATGCTGGAGACTGGTCACCGTGGCCAGGTGTGGGTGGCTGCCTGGGTGACACCGGAGGTGAGGCTGGGCTCGCTGCCCATCCATCCCTCACAGAAAGACAGCTGATTACAGAGGGTCTCTCCAGGCTTCATAATGGAACCCTCATGTTTAATAGACACACAAATCATTCTCTGAAACAGCTCTGATTTCTTAAGAGGCCAGAGACCCTGCATGGGAACAAATAGAAACAGTCCTTTGCTCCTTTCATCTGTGGCCATGCTGATATGGTTCTACTTGAATTGACTACAATCTATGTCCTCTATAAGGACATATTATTAAAAAGATAATGAAAAGGGACTGTCTTACCAAAGCATATTGGTAAGTTAAACTATTCCACTGTTTACTGATAGGAACAGGTTACCTGTTTATCTAGATCCTAACTGATGAACCTCCAGAAGTTGCTTTTGTTTGTGCCAAAAGAAACTCTCCCACCTGTTGGATCTAGAAAGCATCCATGGTGTCATGTGGCATGCTGGGAATCCTCTTCAATCACCCCCCTCCCCAACAAACAAACACAAATGTCTGGTGTCAGATTATTAAATATGTAGATGGTGGAGTTACCATAGCAGAGAGAAGAGGACACACAAAGAATCTTTTTTTTTTTTCTTTTTGCTTTCTAGCAGGATCACAGAGGTGAACGATCACTGCAGGCAATCGTGATTCACTGAAATAACCGCAAGGCAGTAGGATGGAAGACAGGTGGGGAAGTGGAACCGAACGATTGTGAGAGCTTTCAACCAGCTTACCTGCTCCTTCTACTTGTCCCATCAAGGTAAGTTGGTAGAATTTGTTTTTCCTTGAAAAAAATGGCACATTGAGAACATCTCTCTTTGCCTTAAAGAAGTGAAGGTCCCGAGGGAGGAGTAATAAGCCAGTGGTAGAGTGTTTACCCAGTCCACCCAAGGTCATACCCTCCAATTCCAGTAGGGAGGGGATACAAGAGAGGAGGTACCAGTTATTCAGGAGGTTGAGTCAGGAGGATTGAGTGAACCTGGGAGTTAAATACTACTCTGTGTAACACGGGGAACCTGTCTCAAAAAGAAAGGAAAACATTCCTTTCTAGAGTTTTCTATTTGCTTAAAAGGCAACAAGTGGAAACCCTTCTGGGAAGCCAATCTTAGTGAGAGGAGATTCTACTACATCATTTCCCTGGCATAGAAGCATGGGCAGAGATAGAGGAGATGGAGATCTGGGAAACTTTGTGATTGCCGCTTTTGTGCTGTAATACTTCGAGTCATCTGGAGATTGAAGAGAATTTCTCTTTTGTGGTCTGCTTAATCTTCAGAAGTTCACTGTAGCTTTCGTTGAAGGCCAAGAGGTAATAGTAGTCATTCTGGATAAAACTCCATGTGTTTAGTGCTAAAGATAATGCTCTCTAGTTGAAATTCTGCTTTGGGGACACAACGTAGCTGGCCATCTAGTCTCTAGGTGAATATCTCCGTGATTTTTGTACTCTCTACCTTGCAGCCAAACATCCTTTGGTTGGGAAATTCAGAGCTAAACCTTTTGATTGATTTCTAGTTCTAACTTTTGGAGGAGCAAGAGGCAAATATGACACATATGAAGTGTGGCAGATACACATGTAATGAAAATTTCTCCCGCTTCTTTAAGATGTACTTTTCAAAGTAAATACACTCCTCTTTCTTCAGTCTGTAGGTCATGGCATCCGACCCCTCACCGGACCTTCCTCACCGTGGTTTCTTGTGCATTGATCTTTTCTAAGCAGGTGTTCAGGTTCTGAGGAGTGTAATGTTCTGGGAGCCTAATGTTCATGGATGATCTGATCATGCCATTTTTATGAACTGCTTTTATCCTAAAGCTATATCTCCATGGTTTTCTTGAGCTAAAGCCTAATACTGAAGTGAGATAAGTGTTTTAGATAAAAAATCTTATATTCGTAAAAAAAAGTGGCATTCCTACTCCTAAATCTAAACTAAGTAGAGTGAAAATCCATAGAACAATTAGCTGGGGACAACTACCAAGACTCAACTCCAGGGACTACTCAGGGATGGGGCTGGACCCGTATCTAGAGCTCTTTAGCTGTTCCAGCATTCTCTCACTGATGGACTCAACTGTAGTCTGAATGCGACTGCTTTCTTTTACTTGCCCCTGCCCCTGCAGTGTCTTCAGTTCCCCTCAATGTCCGATCTTGTCTGTCTGGCTGAGAATTTTATGTTCCCACTTCCTCATGGCCCATGCAGCTGTGGTTCCCACTGCTAATAGGCAAACCTTATTTTGCTTCTAGCCTAGATGCTCAACAGAGGCAATCAGATTGGCACAGTTCAAATTTTCCTAGCAGGTCATAGGTTGCTGGGAAACCTAAGCTTTGACTGCCTTGGCATAGGTTCCTTCCTCCAGGATACAGAGCAGGCAGAGAGTCACACAGGATTAAATGGCTGCCTAACTGTTGGCTGGCATCGGGCCAGCGCACACACTCAGGTAAGCAGGTAGACAGGTAGGCAAGCAAACACACAGAACAAAGAACCTTTTATATTCCATCAAGATGCCCACTTCTTTCCTATCACTCTAGAAATAGTGCATTTTAATGTGGTTAGTTTATAAGGATCAACCTAAGAGAGGTAATGAAGGAAGACTATTTGACTTTCATTTGACTTTGGGGAGGATCTGGGAGGCAGGAAAATGAAAAACAGTTTGCTTTAACTTGATTACCACTTAATTTGTACTCATTTCTCTATTGAGTAACGAGGAGGAATTTTTCTGTTCTCAAGGAGCAAGTCCTTTAGGCAAACTGGCTGTTGCAGTAACTCTGTCCTAGCTTGCTAGCAGCATATTGGTGGATGTTTTTTTCTTTGGCATTAGTAAATTTTATTCAGTGTTTCAGGCTTATCTAGTACCCATTGGTCCCCCTGGAAGGCAGATCTCCTACTGACACGTTTCTTGCAAGCATGCTAGCCTTCTTTTAGGATGTGGTGTGACAACATCATCCAGGTGTCCAACTTCTGGCTCTAAAAGTCATCACTGTGCCTTTCTTTATAGGCTTACCACAGAAGGTACTGGCCGTGGAAAGAAGATTAGTATCTCTGACCCTGCAGCTTTATCAAGAATTCTTGCTCCATTTAAGCCTTCTGTCATATTAGAAGCTGCACTGGTAAATAACTGCAGTATGACACATAGTAATTAAGATTCTATGCGATATATTTAATATGAATAGCCTCTTTTTTCCCTGTTTACTACTTTTTACAACTTAAAAAATAGGTCATGTTATTATCATCTTTGTTTTATAAGTGAAGCACTAAACTCTTCATAAAACTCTTTATAAAACTTTGATAAGTGAAGGGTTTAAGGCTTCTAGACTTCAGTTGAATCCCTAAGATTAGAAGAAGGGAGACTACGTTCAAACCTCAGCAGTCTGGCCCAAGAGATGAGAAATACTAGATCTGTGTCTTCAAAAGAGGAAAGTCAAGCATAACTTATGACATCATCTGTTTGGTGTATTAAGAAGCTCTCTAAAATAATGCAAATCTTCCTTGGGTTACAGTTCAGAAACCTGTTTTGGATTCATGTACTCATCTACCAATCATTTATCACTTACTTACTTACTGTGTGCCTTAGAAAATGATGAGGTAACAAAGGACATTTAAGATAGGGTCTAAACCTGTTAGTAGCAAACTCTTAGCGGAGGCGGCAAGATACTTAGGAATGTGGAAACAACAATGAAAGGTGGTAAATGATTGTACTCTACAATAAATACCATAAACAGAAGGTACAATAGGAGTTTAAAGAGCAGTACCTCTTGTGTGGGAGGTAAGTCCTATGAAGGAATATGATAGAACCAGGAGGAGAAGAGAGGAACATTTGCCCATTCATTGACTACTGGTGAACCTTACAGTGCACAGGTCATTTTTGTTAGTTACTGGAGAATGGAGGCTGTGAGCAGTATGAGAGGGTAGCCTGATATTAGTAAGATTGTCAAGAGAGCACAATGAAGTGGGGAGGGGGGACGGGGAGGAGGGAGAGACAGAGTGAGAGTGAGAGAGAGAGAGAGAGAGAAAGAGAGAAAGAGGATCCCTTCTGAGAATTGAGAAATCTTCTTGAAAATAATGACAAGAATTACAGAACAGGCAGAGGAAAATTATATCCAAAAGCACATTAATGTGTATGTATTTATGAAATCAGGTAAATAGGAGGTATACCTTTGACTGGAGACATTTAATTTTTTTTTCAGGCAAAAGATTAGATGTAAAGGAGCAGAGGCTAAGCTGTTTTTTCTAAGGAAAAACTAGAATAGGTCAGGTCAGAGTTCCTCAGGGAGTTCTAATGTCACGCTCGACACCCCATGCTCATAGGAACAGGATAGAAAAAGGTCCTCAGTTCTAGCAGAGTACCTCAGTTCCCCTGACTGCCTCTCAGTCTGAGTGACACAAGGGTTCTGGGATGGTGACTACTATCAGAAAAACCACTTAGTTTCAAAGGATCATGGACTTAAAAAAGAGAAACCTTCCTCATTTTATGTCTCCTGGGGCTTCTGTACCATGTTTGCTTAAGAAAATGTAGATATGCTCAGAAAAAATGATATTAGGCAATGACTGACAAAAGCCAAGCTATAGTATCATTGAAGATTTGGCATAAAACATGACTCACATTTTCTTAGCTTGAACTCAGGGCCTGAGCACTGTCCCTGAGCCTCTTTGTGCTCAAGGCTGGCACTCTACCAATTGAGCCACAGTGCCACTTCTGGCCTTTTTGAGTGGTTAATGGGAGATAATAGGCTCTGGGGTCTTTTCTGCCTGGGCTGGCTTCAAACCAAAATCCTCAGATCTCAGCCTCCTGAGTAGCTGGGATTACAGGCGTGAGCCACTGTGCTCAGCTCAACTAAATATGTTTATAGTTTACTTCGTGTGTCTGTTAACAGTTACAAATAAGTAATATGTGGACACTAATTTTTTGGTGAAATGAAAGCTCTTTATCCTGACTAGCAGAACTGGCACCAGGGATAGGTATACTACCTGATCTGGAAATTGTCTGTTTTATAAGAAGGCTGTTTTTTCAGATGAGGAACTGGGAGTCCAGTGAGGGAAAGTGACCAACACACTGTGGCTAGGCGGGTCTCAGACAGCCTTGGGACTCAGTCTGCTTTCCAGCTACGATTCAGTTGGGATTGGCTGAAAGAAGCAAACACACATGAAACTAGGGGGTTTCACTGTGATCCTCCATGAAAAAGAGAGTGCGGAGGGAGTAAGAAAAGGAAGACAAGAAGGAAGGAATGCAGGAAGGGGAGGTAGGAGGGAAGCAGGAAGGGAGAGACAGTGGGAGGGAAATCTGAAAAAAGAAAGAGCCTTGGGAAGGTGGCTCAGTGGTAGAGCGTTTTCCTTGCATGCATGAGGCCCTGGGTTCGATTCCTCAGCACCACATAAGCAGAAAAATCCAGAAGTGACGCTGTGGTTCAAGTGGTAGAGCACTAGCCTTGAGCTGAAGAGCTGAGGGACAGCGCCCAGGCCCAGAGTTCAGGCCCCACTACTGACAAAAAAAAAAAAGAGAAAGAAAGAAAAAGAAAACCAATGCCAGTTAGGGCCATTTTTGGCTGTGAGTGAAATAATAATGAGTTTGCTTCACTCTGACAAGTCCAGAGGTAGATGGCCTATGTCTGTCAATGTCTTTAGTCCATTAAATCCTTAGGGAGCTAGGTCCCTTCCAGCTCATCCTTACACTTTGCTCTCATGGCCCAAGATGGTGTCCAAGGGGCCACGCATCACATCTAGGCTGGAGGGAAGAAGCAAGAAAGAGAAGGTCACTAAGTTGACTACCACTCTAGAAACTATACCAGGACACTTCTGGTCCCATGTTGTTGATTGGAACTTACAGCCACAATTTGCAAAAAAGGAAGCTGAGAAATACAGTTTTTGAATCCCGAGCACCATGGATCCAGCTTGAAAAATGAAATTCTGTCACTGTCTTTTGTCACTAATATACAGGGAAATGATGCATATTGATTTGTTTTTTGTTCTTTAATATTTGTCTATAATACAAATCCTGGGACTGGTTAGAGAGTAACACTTTATTTTTCCATGAAAAGATCAACCCTCCCCTTCCCCTCCCCTTCCCTCCCTTCCCTTTCCCTCCCATCCCTTCCCCTTCCCTTCCCTTCTCTTCCCTTTCCTTTTGTTTTCTTTTCCTTTCCTTTTTTCTTGATGCCAATCCCGGGGCTTAGAATCAGGGCCTGGGTACTGTCCCTGAGTTTTCTGAGCTTTTTGTTCCCTCAAGGCTAGTGCTGGACCACTTGAGCCACAGCTTGAGTTCTGGCTTTTTTTTCTCTTTTCTTTGGATGCCTAATTGGATTTAAGAGTCTTAAGGAGTTTCCTGCCTAGGTTGTCTTTGAACCTTGATCCTCACATCTCAGCTTTCTGAGCAGCCAGGATTACAGGTGTGAGACACTGGCTCCCAACTTCAAATTCTTTTCTCTGGTGGTAAGAAAGACAATCTGTTATAAGAGTAAGCCATTAGAAGAGTCCAGGTCACTGGAGGAAGAAGGGGTGCTCCAGAAACACCAGGGATAAAGAGTTGAAAAATACCCTGAAAAGAATATAAAGAGAACAGATAAAAACAGGGCCATGGTCCAGTCTGTGACTTTGCCTGTTGGTAAGAGCTGGTTTTCTGAGCACTCTGCCTTTCTACTCTTTTCTGTGTCCCATTGCAACAGTGACTCCAGTCTCTGCCAGCCTCTTTGGGGGCCTGTGGGACTTAGACAGCTGTTGCCCATTCTTAATGTGGGTTGTGGTGATACAACATTTGTGATTTACTCAGTCCTCGCATGTCAGTTGAAGTGTCCCTTTGAGTAGGACAAAAAAGGGTTTTAATACAGTTCACATTTAATTGTGAGGTAATAGTTATCTGTAATGAATCTACAGTTTCTCACTTTCATTTCCTTTAAGTGAAGGGTGGGTTATTACTGAACTTTGGAAGCCTGGGTGGGTTGACAACTAACTCCAATTGTGCTTATGGGATAACTTCTGACAATTCTTCAGATTCTCCAGACTCCCTGTTACCACAAAGCCTTTGCAGTGCTATAACTTCTCCCTCTGAAATGTTCACCGTTCTCCTCTTGTCTGAATACCATGTACTGTGGCCTTCAGGAGACTTTAACTTTGGGGAGTAAGGAAAAATGACTGAGCCAAAGGTTGTCCCACACAATGTAATTCTTTGTATCATTTATTACAGATACCATTCTATATTCATATGTCTTCATTTACTTAAACTTTAATTTTATGAAAAAAGTTTTTTTTACCACCTTGATATCCCTGTGTCTGATGTAATAGTGGGCATATACAGTATGCACTCAGTTCGCTGACCTTAGTAAGTATACCGTTCTTGTGTCTGAATTTGTATAACCTAGAAATGAGTAATGTATTATTTCTTGATATATGGTCCATGAGCTGCCTTCATCAAATTTACCTGGTTAATGTCTTTAAAATGCAGACTCCCAGGCTTTGCCCTAGTTCTACCAGATCAAACTATTGGGGTAGGCTCAGAAACTTTCACATGAAGGGGTTATCAAATAATTGTTTGATTTTATTTATATTTTTAGTGGTTTTAGGGCTTGACACATGCTAGGCAAGTGCTCTTCCACTGAAGTAGGCCCTCAACTTGGTTAATCGTTTGAGAAACTTCATTATAGGGTGTGTGAGCCGTTGGAGGAGACAGGACAGCACGAGTGTTATTTAGAGGATATAAGAATGTGCGTGAGAGCAGGCCTTCAGGATAAGAAGCTATGTCAGTATGCTTGGACTAAGAGAAAAGAAATTTAGATGACTACTTGCCTCTTTAATATTTGAAAGCGCTGTGGAAATTTTTGAAGCCCATGTTGAGTTTAGTAATCCAGGTTTATGTGGCAATAAAGCAATGTGTGTGCACAATGTGTGTTTATGGTAACACCTGTGCGCCAAGGACCTTAAAGAAATTAACTGTTATCAGTATTTGTTTATTCCCCATCCCCATGTAGATTGAAGAGACACAGTGTTCTTACAAATAGTCATCTTGATCAAGAGTTGGGTCTTTGATGGAATGTTGACTCTAATTCTCTGCTTTCAAACTTAATAAGACATATAGTTACCTATTAAATATATTCAAACCAAGGAAGTGG